TCGGCAGGTGAGGGGACCCGCCACCAACTTCCGACCCCGCACAGGCCCCCGGACTGGCCTGGGGGCCCCGGGGCTGCTCAGTGAGGGCCATGGAGGTCTGGGACTGGTGAAAAGGGGGCCCTCGCCTAGGGGGATGGGAGGGAGTCGCCCAGATTGCTAGGGGTCACCAGAGCAGGGAGACCGGGAATTTGCTTTCTCTTCCTGTTCAAGGTCAGCTTCTCGAGTGGACGCGACTCCTCGGAGAGCCTAGGATCGGTCCGAGAAGCCAATGACAATCACGAATCTTGTTCCCCAAACGCTCAAATTGAAGCGCGCAACCTCGGGGGTCCCTGCCGAACCACCCCTGCATCGCTCTTGGCGAGCGCGGGGCGCCGGGCGCGGGCGAGGGAGTGGGCTGCGCGCCCTTCGGCTCTGGGTGACGGGTGGAAGGGCTCGGGACACGAGTCGGTGACGGGATTGGCCCTGCCCGCAGCGTCCTCACACTCTTCCCACGCACAGGCGACCACGGAGTGGGCAGGGAGGATGAGTAACCAGGAAGGGGCGTCCAGATGGTCCCGGGCAGCGGAACTGGCTGGGCGGTGGGAACAGCTAGGGACTGCGGGAGGCCGAGGCTGAAGGCGGCGCGCGGAAACCCACAAGCCCTGCATCTGGGAGGACTCAGCACTAGCACCTGCCTCCTCAGTGACCTTTCCGGGCAGCGGCTTCGGCATAGTGAGCCCACTCCCATGTCAGGTGTGCCCGTCAGCGGTAGAGATGGCCCCCGAGCTCGGGTGAGCGAGATCCCACCTAGTTCAAGCGAGGTCTCACCTGAGCCCTGTCAGTCTGGTGGAAAATCTGAGCTTTTGTGTGTGAGAAAAGCGATGAAAGTGGGTCCAGAGTGGATCAGTGTTGCTGGGGTCACCTTTGGGTGTCTATTCCCACTCTTTGGTTAAAACCACTGGCCTCTGAGCCCTTAAATCAACTTGGCTGGAGAGCTTTGCAACTGGGCCCAGTGCCCACTCCCTGAGATTTACCAGGGGTTGTTTGGATGAAACCTTGGCAATAAATTTTAAGGAAACTCTCAAGAAAATGTGGTTATTTTGGCGGCTTTACCCTCCCTCCCCCAGCCTCCCATTTGTTTGGGATTTGTAATGCATCAAATTCCCTTTGTCTCTCAATAAAGGGAAATGAATTATTTAATCCTGGGGTCAGTCAGGAGCGACAAGAGCGCATTAACCTTTACAGAGGAGATATTCCAGGCAGTCCCAGGAGAGTCTTGGAAGCACTATTTTTAAAATCTTTACAGAAGAGTAGACCATTTGTTTACCAAAAAGAAAGACCAACTCTTGTCACCAGGCTGTCTTTTAGAGACTGTTACCAATGATGCCTAAATTATTCTCCCTCAGTAAAATGAGGAGAGGAGGGACCAGCAATTAGCATAATAGCTATGTCGCTGGACTCCCCATGCAATTGACCATGATTGGAGTCCCAGACCTGGTGGCTTAAACTCATGCCAGGCGCGTGTGCGTGCGTGCCCAAGATCCCAGGGGGGCGGTGGCGTGGCACGCGGGGTGGGGGGTGGGGGGGGTGATTTCTCACTTTCTGTCTCTCTGTCTCTCTCTTTCTGGCGAGCACACACGCCCCTATAGCAAAAACCTCTCAAAACCAGTAATAAAATACGGAGAGAGGATAGAATAGAAGCTTTCTCCCCTCCTCCTCATTCCTGAGGAACAGTGACCTAATGTTTGGTACTTCCAAACAGAAGTTCAGATTCTTTCCAAGAAGACAGTCATGATGGTCCCAGAGCTATGTCTGGCCGGCTCGCCCCACTGTAACTGTTAGGATACTCCTCACTGGGTGCAGAGGAGAGCATTACAAAGTAGAGCCTCTGGTTGTATACTCACCTCTGTCTGCTTCAGGAGCTAAACGGGTGTCACTCTCCTTCAGAAATAAATAATGGTGCCTCGCTCCCGCAGAATGGTGGTTTCCACTTACCACCGAAGTTGAGACTAGGCTGGCGTGGGGTAGCCAGCTCCCACACCTTCGGCCCCTGCAGGAGCCTTCTCACTCCCTTCCCACCTCACACCTTTGGAGCTGGCACACACCCTCCTCGGACCCTGCACAGGGTGATTGATGCGGTGGCCACCTGTGGCCCTGGGAGGATGAGTCAGAGTTTGGGAATCACTTGGTAGCCTCCTAGCAAAGCAGCTGGCTGTTTGTTTACAGGGCTTTTTTTTTTTCCTTCTTCTTCTTCTTTTTTCCAGCAATTGTAAACAATCTCTTCCCTACTTAGCATGAGAAGTCTGCCAACTTCTCAAAAGCAGTTGGCCTTCTGAGGTCTGGGTTTGTCATCTCAAATATCCCGTTTGGGGCCTGGGTGATGTTTCTCTGTGATGCGGGGTTTGGGCAAGTGCCTGCCTACACAGGTGAAGCTGAATGCCTCTCTTGTATGAGAACAAAAGGCAGGTGCTTAAGTGGGGGGAGGCGGGGAAGCTATAAAACAGAAGAGTAGGGAGGGGCCTGGTGTGCTTCTCTAATCCCAGGGACCATTCTGTGAGCTGCCCACACAGAGTGGAGGCTGAGGTACACTGGGTGGTTTTCAGCCTGGGGTTATTGTTGGTGTTGACTACAGCTTATCTGCACAGGATACCTTGTCTGGACTCCCTGGAGTCCAGGGCCCTGTCCTCTTCTAACAGCACCATGTTACAAATCCCCTCACAGCTAAGTATCCAGGACTGACATCATGGAGGAACTTCAGATAAGCTTAAAGCATGAAACTGTGTAAGATAGCAGGGGAATGGCAAGTGTTAAATGGGGGCCTGGCAGAGGCATGTTGGGGCCAGCAGGTGGTGTAGTGGTTAAGGTGCTGAATCCCCACATAGCTGACTCAAGGTTCGAGTACCAGACCAGGTAGCTTGTAACTCACACTGGGCACATGTGTGTAATTGCCCAAAATCCCACAAAGAGAAGGGATTGTGGTGTGGCCATGCCTCCTTAGGAGATGATTTCTCACTTTCCCTTCCTCTGTCTCTCTCTGGTAAGCACACATACTTTATGGTAAAAAATCTAAAAAAGAAAAAAAGGACAAAACAAATTGGGGGTAGGGAGTTGTTAAAAATTTCAAGGAAAGAATTCAGCATGAATTGGAGTGATCCAGAATGCCTCAAGGAAGTGGTGGTTGAGATGCCCTGCCCAGCCCTCCCCACCTCACGCCCAGGATGAGTAATCTGCTCTGTCTGAGCCTCGGCCCCTCCAAACCTGCACCTCTGCGGTGGAAAACCCACTCAAATGGTGCTTTATTGAATAGCTAAAGCTGAAGCAGGAAGCAGGAAGTTAGCCTCGGTACTCTGGATAAAAATAATAGTTAAGAGTTTCATGAGTGCTTACTGTGTGCCAGGCACTATTCTCAGAGCTTTGTACACTAGGCTGTTTGTGCCACCCGCGCGCCCCGGGACTGGTCACGTGAATTTGATGATCTGGAAACGTATGGGGGCCCACGAGCGCAGAAACGGCATCGGTCTTAATCACGGCTATGTAACCACAAGCCTTCTGCAGGGCACTTTGAGTGGTTTTTATTACAAATGAGAAATAGGGGGCTTTTTGTTGAGTTTTCATTTGCTCCTTTATCTCTTGCCAAAATGGTCTTATTTATGATCCCATTTTGAAATCTTTCCACCTTTGCTAAAGTTGTCTTAAAGTATTTTGGAAAGTGTTTGAGAGCTGTGTAGGGCTGGGAGGGGGGGGGGGGTTGGGGCATCCTTTTTCTTCTTCTAAGCCTGTGCCTAGAAAATCAAGATTAGTAAGAGCTGACTACAAAATAGCAACTTACTGGCTATTATTGAGTTAGTGAAAAAAGCAACCTCATGGAGATGGTTTTGCTTATTTAAAACATAAAATCAAATGCTGCGATTCCTAAATGAGGGTGGTTTTTTCCTGCTTAAAATTTCAGTTGTGATTTTCCATTGGTTTTGCATTTCCTTGAAATGGACATTATTAAACTCTCAAAATAGGCTCTAACTGAATATATTATTGCTTAAAAGAAAACATATAAGTAGGCAACACAAATAAACCCCCATAACCTTTTCTTCCAGGCAGTACCTCTGGAATCTAAAACCTAACATCAAATGATAAGTATAGGGTTTCTCTCCGGTTAAAACTTTTCTACATTCGACAGTGAGAGGGCATCATCAATTATGTAAAACTCTGTTAAACTAGCTTTCGAAATGAGTCACTGGGCTGAAAGCAGGTTAAGGCAGCTTCTGGGAGCCAAGCAAGTGCTCAAATTCCTTTGAAGAATGTTTTCAATTTAAAGAAAAAGAGACGGAATATGACTATTTTAAATGTCTAAGGAATAGTTGCAATCTATGGGCCAGGCTCTGAAATCTTTTGATAACCCTTAAATGTATGCTTGAGAAAAAGACGACTTCATTTTCTAATTCTCTGTAGGCAGAATTTGGATGTAGGTTTTTGTGTTGGGGGGGGTGTGTTTTCTTTAAAAATAAGCCTTTGTGAGGTTTTATGTACACACAGTGTTCTAGCTCTGCTTTCTAAAGCCGTGCTCAGCTTTGGTACATCATGAGCCACTCGAGTGACCTTCCACCTTTCTTCTCTATTTTGAAATTTCCTAAGTCAATCTCAGGGACTCGGAGTTCTGGTCCATCTTTGTTTCTCCCGTGCCCCTGCTGACTTTAACAGATAATTGACTGGTCGGTGATGCGGTGATGCTGTACTCTGTAGTCATGTGAGAACACAAACACATGCTCACGTGTTACAGAAAGCCTGGCTCAAAACATTCACCCTCGACTTGCTTAAGAAAGTGCCACTGAGAGAGGACATTTCTGCAGTACTCTGACACCTAAAAATACCCTGTCTCCCTGAGTGAAAAGGAGAAAGCTAACGATATTGGGAAATTCTATGGATGGTATTAAGCATAACCTTATAAAGGCAGATTAATAAATGGTTGATAACCATCAAATCCATCACCCCATCTGATGGGTCCAGAAAAGCATCAGCAAATATATTCTTGGTGGTGTAGTGTGCAAGCATTTTAGTGGGATACTTAGTATACTAATTGCAGTGCGTCTTCAGAGATGATTGTAACTAACAGAGATTAGAAATTGTTTCAAACTCTTTTCCATTATTTACATAATGCCAATGGAATTGAGAAGTACAGTTTTATCATACTGTTTGTCCAAAAAAGATACAGATGTTATGTCCAAAAAAGTACAAATCAAATCACATTTTTAATTCAGCAGAAGACCTTGAATAATTCAAAGAAAACCTACTGGTGATATATTAGGTTGTCAGAAAAGTCCTGATGTATTTTTCTATGTAAAAAATGTGGCATGACTTTTCCGACGACTCAATAGCAAAAGTTTACAATTTGGGTTTCACAGGGTGACAGGATAAATCCTGCCTTGTTACCACTTGAGAGTTGAGGGAGGTGAAGAACCTTCTCGTTGTACTTCAATATTTTTCCTGCATCCTTTCTGTGAAAACGATTTAGAGATTTCTTTTTGTTGTTAGTTTTTTTTGTTTGTTGGTTTGGTTTATGCGATAGGGCATGTGTGCTTGCCGGAGGGAAAAGAAGAGAGAGACAGAGAAGGAAAGTAAGAAATTATCTCTCCACCACCCCCCCACCGCCCCCCCCCCCCAAGGACATGGCCATGCTGCAATCACTTCTCCTCCATTCTCCTTCTGGGATTTTGGGCATGCATGCACACTCACCTAGCATAATTTTTAAGCCACCAGGTCCAAGACTCAAACCGGGGTGAGCCATGGGAGTCCAGCACCTTATGCTGGCCCCTAAGATTTACTTTGAAGTTGCAATGTATGGAAGAACAGAACTTCTCAGCCCCACCAATGAGAGTTCAGCCCACAGAGGGAAATTTGCACCTGGCCAAGGTGGAATGTGCCCAACCTCCAACAACCTGTGCATTAGACAGGAACATTCAGTGTCTGTTCAGTCCTCATAAATTTATATATTATTAACTTGCCTTGTTTCAGTTAGGACCCAAGTTCTTCAACTGTCAACATGGTGCCTGATACTGCTTAAGGAACTACACGAAACGCACACAACTAGCACTATACACTAAAGAGCTCCTAAAAACAGTTTATAAGGCAGATTTGGGGAATGTAATTATGTTTTAAAGTCATGGTAGGAGCATGCATGTTAGAAGAAGCTTGGGTACACCGTCCCACTGGGCTGTGGGACCAGTAGATGGCGTAATGGTTACGTCGCTGGACTCCCACATAGTGCAACCATGATTCAAGTCTCAGACCCAGCGGCTTAAAACTCACACCAGGCGTGTGTGCATGCTGCCCAAAATCCCAAGAGGAGAATGCAGGAGAGGGGTTGCAGCATGGCATTCTGTCTCTCTCTCTGGTGAGTGCATGCACCATATAGCAAAAATCTCTCTCTAAAAAAATGGGTGGACTATGTGGTATGTGAATTCTCTCAAGCTATTTTTATAAAAAGAAACAGAGTGGATGTTTTTGCAAAATGAAGGCATTATGTGTTATAATGATCTGAGGGGTCACCCTGTTCCCCCTCGAGTCATTATTTTTGCTTAAAGTAATATTGTAATTCCCTGCATTGCTCTTGGTTAAAGAATCCAGTGCTGTGTGTCAAGTACAATGGCAGGCACTGTTAGGGAATTCAAAAGCAGCGGAAACCCCATCTCTTCCTTCCACAGAGAGGTGACAATGTTTCGTCCTAAGAGAGAGAAGCCTGTACCTATATAAACTTCTTATGAGGGATTAGTTTATTGTTTTATCTTGTTTGAGAAGCATGTCTGTCTCTGTGGTTTATAACCCAGGAGTTATTTATAGAAAACGTTCAGAGTAGAGTATAGATGTGACATCTCACCCTCTCTTGTCTTCTGTCTGTCATAGTTACTGCAACAAGGACGTATACAATAAGGAGAATCTTTTCAACAGCCTGAACTACGATGTTGCTGCCAAGAAGAGAAAGAAGGATATGCTGAACAGCAAAACCAAAACTCAGTGTAAGCCATTTGTTTTGAGTTTAAGAAGAAAGCCGGAGATAGTTACGATCAGTGCTTGGTGGGACCAGTGTGGGGGGTGGGTTGGGACCTCAGCTCTCATGGACACAACAGCCTTAAAGTTTAAATGTACAAATAGACGTTACTGGAATCTTTGTACTTAGCAACCTGGCTGTGCACTTTACGAGCAAGATTAATATGCGGGGTTGTTTTGTTTTTTTTTTTTCAGAATTATTGTATTTAACTTTATTTATTTATTTTACTTTGACCAGAGAGGGACAGAGTGAGAGAGAGAGAGGGAGAGTGAGAAAGCAAGCCGCCAGGTCCGGGACTCGAACCCAGTCGACCATGTGGGAGTCCAGCACCCTTAACTACCACGCCACCTGCTGGCCTCAATTAAGGTGTTCTTTATAGTCTTGTTTATAAGTCATTTGCTAGTCGGGGTGATTTTCCTGCTTACCACTTGTATTTGGCGTAGTAAACGTATTTACTACATGGGAGCACGGTCATCAGTTCATCTCAGTGTTTGCATTTATCTTGAACTGTGCTTTTGAGTCTTTGAAAATAGATTTGTCTCACCCTTTTGCCTTGTCTAACTATATTAACATTTCTAGATGCTGTATGTATTAGCCGAGTCTAAAAAGTTCTATTAATAAGCATGAATTATAGATTATTTTAGTCTAACTCCATCTATACTGCATGGTTTCCTCACAGTATCTGCTCTATTTTTATCTTTTATGACCTCGCATAAGCTTTAGGTTTGGCATTTAAAACAAACCGTTCTGTGGTATTAGTTTTGTTGTTTAATTTGAAGCTTTGTTACACCATCAAAAGTTTGGAATGCTGGGGCCACCCAATAGCATGGTGGCTAAGCAGCTGAATCTCACATGGCAACTATGCTGTGTAAGTCCGGGACTGGCAGCTTGAAAACACACCAGGGGTGTGTGTGTGTGTGTGCCCAAAAATCCCAAGAGGAGAATGAGGAAGGGATTGTGGCATGGCCATCCCTCCTGGGAGATGTGTGTGTGCGCTCGCTCGTTCGCCCTCTCTCTCTCCCTCCCTCCCTCTCTCTCTCTCTCTCTCTCTCTCTCTCTCTCTCCAGCAAGTGTATGTACCTTACAGCAATTTTTTAAAAAAGTTTTTGGAATGCTTTAGACAAGCTATAGCTTGTCATTGCATATACATTGCAGAATTTGGGCATTTGCATCCTCTTAGATTGTCAGCAAAGACTGTATTTGTTGGTCAAAACTTCATACACTTTGGAATAAATGAAGAAGAAACATGTTTACCATCTTAGACATCACGAAAGCTAAAACTGTGTTTGTTTGGGGTTTTGTGGGTTTTTTTGTCTTTATAGATTTCCACCAAGAAAAATGGATCTACGTCCACAAAGGAAGTACTAAAGAGGTGAGCCCCCCTGCCTTTATGACACAGTTCCACTCCTGACGAGGGGTGAAGGAACTGAGCAGTTACTTCACACCATGGCCGTCTCCTTAGGTGTGCGGGCTGGTTGCTAGGATACTGCCTCGCCAACCATCAGAATTCAGGCTAGAGAGAAAGAGAAGGGAAAGTGACTAAGCAGACTCTTCCAGCATTCAGTGAGGTTCCACACCTCAACCGTATTATTCTAAAGTCCTGCGGAACATAGCCGTGTTCGGTCCTGCTCAGTGCGATGTGGGGGGCAGCACGCTACAATCACTACATCTGCGTGGCACGTTAAAGGACCCTTTTTATGTGCGCCTCCTCTCTGTACAGGTGCTTATTTGCTCAGATCACTAGGATAGGAGGTGATATGGTCGATGATAGAAATTCTAGTGCTATCAGGGACCTCAAAGAACGTCTAGTGCCCCTGTGACTTGAGGCTTAGAGAGAGCCAGTGACCAACCACCCAGATACTCAGAGCACAGGCAGTCAGGAGTCAGGATTCCACTCCTAAAGCCTTGTGTGCTCACAGGTAAGAGACTGAAACTTCCTTTCCTTCCTCGTGAAGCATTAGAAATACTTCCAATGGTCACAATGAGAAAAAAACACTCACACTGCCAGGAAGGTGGTGACCAGTTGACACAGGTAGGCCTGTTTCTGCTGGGAGCATGTGGCAGTCGCCAGCCATCACGACCTCACACATCGTTTCCCCAGCTCCCAGTCTGTCCTCCGTAAGTGACTACTTAGGATCTTCCCAGGCTAGGACGTGTGCAGAGAGCAAGGCCCAAATGGTACAACATGCCGTCCAGCGAAGGCAGCCACACTCCACATTCCCCATCACGGTGGCTCACAGGGACTCCTGGGTGCAGAAAGAAGCCAGTGGCCCAGGTTCCCTACGATGGGCAGCAAGCCTGCTCAGTAGACTCTGGGGGATTGTTCTAGAGAATGAGACCTGCACGGCAGGAGTAACCCCTGTGTTCATGTTTAGCGTCATGGATATTGTACCCTGGGGGAAGCTTTCAACAGACTGGACTTCTCCACTGCCATTCTGGACTCCAGAAGATTTAACTACGTTGTGCGGGTAAGTCTCAAGTATCCGAAGGCCTGTCCAGACTGTCTCAGTTGGATTATCTGTCCTGGTTGACTTGAACTAGTCCCCCAACTCCCACCTGTGCCACATACACATAAAAACTCTTTAGGACTCTGAGAATTTTGAAGTCAGCAGAAAATAGACGCGTTTTTCGGTGGGTCCTTATGGGAAGTCTTGAGCTCAGCCCCGAAGGACAGGGGCCAGCGTGATAGCTCAATGAGTGAAATCTCCTTCCTAGTCCCTTCCAAGTCCACCCCGTGGATAAATGGGAACACATTACAGACCACACAGATCCTGGAAACAACACAAGCAAGAGAACTGAGCAGGAAGCCAACCGTAAAGCAAGTGGCTTGATTTAAAGAGGTCACCTCTACCCGTTGTCGCTCCTTCGTGTCCTGCTTCAGCTGGCTCTGGTGACCCCAAGGCATCCTTGGGTCCCCAAAGCAGATCAATTCAAATGTCTCCCTTCCCTCCCACCCCTGTGTGAGAACAATATTCTTTCCCATGTGTACTTAAGCTTAAAACTGCCTGTTTGGCTCTATTGCTTTCCATTTTAAACCTTCTTTTAAAAGAAAGGAAAGGAAAGGAAAGGAAAGGAAAGGAAAGGAAAGGAAAGGAAAGGAAAGGAAAGGAAAGGAAAGGAAAAGGAAAGAAAAAAGAAGAAATTGGGGCCAGCAGTTAGCGTAATGGCTATGTCGCTGGACTCCCACGTAGTCAACTGCGGTTCGAGTCCCGGACCTGGTGGCTTAAACTCGTGCGTGCCCAAGATCCTGAGAGGAGAATGGAGGAGAAGGGATTGCGGCGTGACCATCCTCCCTGGGGGGTGATTTCTCGCCTTCTGTCTCTCTGTCTCTCTCTCTCTGTCTGGCGAGCACACGCGCCCTGTAGCAAAAAAAAAAAAAAAAGAAATTAATAAGCTTTAGCAAAACAGTCATGATGAAGAAAACAAGTAAGCTTAACCATGACTTTCAAGTCACTGATTTTCGTAATTGATATATTGTTTCTTCCCCCACCCCACCAACTCCCTTGTGCCTGTTTGTTGGTGACTCAACCTGGGAGGTAGCAGCTGTTTGAGTTTTAGGCTCAGGAGTAGGAGGGAATTTTTCCCATGTGGGTGTTGGTTGGTTTGGTTTTTATGTTCTCTTTCCTGGATTGTGCTTCTCAGTGCTGTGTCACTGAGTCAGATGACTGTGGAGGCTTAGCCAGCATCATGACATTCAAACCCCTTGGGGCTGGGATCACTCATCTGTCATATGGGCAGATGCAGGCTTGACGATGCAAACTGACCTGACAGTAAAACCCGGGCCTGCCCAAAGCAGGTGAGAAACTCTGAGCTGAGCCCAGACCACATGAGCAGGTCTGTCCTAAAGGGGTGAAAAGAGCAGGTTGGATGACATGTTTATGTCGTGCAGTGTGCCTGCCAGTGCCGGGAGGTCAGCTAGTCCCAATAAAACCCACAGTCTAGTCCAGGCTGGTTGGAAACAGGTCCAAGAAGTTGCTGAGAATATGAATAACGCCATCTCCTTGGTGCTAGATCTGATGAAGTCCTGTTACAAACTGATCATCCAAATAGTTTTTAGGTGGGTTTTCCTCTTACCTGCTTTACCTTTCACAAGAACTGAAAAGAAAGCACAGGAATGAGGACTATAATAGTGGAAATCCATACCATGCAATTATGGTATAGTTTCACCATTCATCCTTTCAATAACCCTGTCAAGTATAGGTACTTGTAGTATCTTTATTCAAAGACACAGAGGTACAGCAATATCAAGTGTCTTGTTCAAGGTTGCAAAGTCAGGATTTGAAGACCAGGCAGTCTTAGAGTCCACATTATTATTTTTTTAAGAATTATTTACTTTTATTATTGGGTCATCAGGAAAGTCATGACACATTTTTCCATGTAAAAAGCAAGTCAAGGGTGAATGCTTTGAGCCAGGCCTTGTGTAACATGTGAGCATGTATTTGTGTTCTCGCATAACTAAAAGGGGTACAGAGTCTCCCACCAGTCAATTATCTGTTAAGGTCAGCAGGGAGATGGGAGAAACAAAGATGGACCAGAACTTGAAGTCCCTGAGATTGACTTAGGAAATTTCAGTTGGAAAAAGATGGAAGGTCACTTGAGTGGTTCAAGTGGAACTCAAACCACTATCAACCAGGTTCAGGCCTAGAGAGTCCACACTCTTAACTGCTATGGGAAATACAGTGTATAAAAAGAAGAGGATTTAAAGTAAAATGGCCTGAGGTCCATTCCTAACTCCATTCATTTCCAGCTGTTACAGCCTCTGTGAGACTTGGTTCCCTCCTCCGGAAGAGGGACTTAGCTCAGTTTCATAGGGTAGCTGTAGAACTTCAGTGACTTGTTATAAATAGATGTAGATAATATAAATCTCTGCAGGCCAGAATCTACCATGCTAAGTTTGCTACTAGTAGGTTGTCAGGAAAGTCATGACTGTTTTTCCATGTTTCCCTGTGCAAAAATGCACCATGACTTTTCGACAACCTACTAGTATTTCTCATTACCTACTGCCCCAAATTATTATAAGATCCCTCCTAAAATGCCTTTTTCAATTTAGTCAATACAAATGTTATTCCACTTTAATAAAAATAATGAACTGGAGAGACCTGATTAAAACTCAGTATGGAGAATTTGTGTCTGATGGCATCTAACTGTTAAATGATGAGCCCTTTCCCTTAAATAATTTGAAAGGTAGAGAAACTACTGTGTGGTCTCAAAGTCGTTAGCTTCAGAAACAGTGGAAAAATACTTCTGTTTTGGAAAGAACAATCTGTTTCCCCCCTTCACTATTAAGAGTCCTCTGTAATTTGAGAAATAATATGTTATTTTTATAGAGAACTTGAAACATTTTAATGATAGGCACCATATTTTGAGGTTTTTCTTCTTAGGAACTCAATATACTTCTCACATATTTATCTTATCCTTAAAGCAACTTTGCAACGTAGCTTGCCAGTGTATGATCCTCCCTAGTGGTGTTTTAATGCTACAGTGATTGCTTGGTTTCTTTAAGGGCCTAAACCAGTTTTAGGGGGCATTTGGAAAAACAAAAAAGTCCAAAGCTTTTAAAGCCAAAGTACATTTTTTAAAACTTCATGTTCATCCAGGCTGTCATCTTCCAAAAAGGAAACATGCAGAGATGATAATAAGAGATGACCAGCACTATTCCAAAATGCTGTTTTTTTAGGGAGTTTTTTTTTTTTTAAAGATATTCTTGTTATAGGGTACATACACTTACCAGAGAGACAGTGAAACAGAAAGTGAGAAATCATCCCCCAGGGGAGATGGCCATACCACAATCCCTTCTCCATTCTCTTCTCAGGATTTTGGACACATGCACCTGGCATGAGTTTTAAGCTGCCAGGTCCAAGACGCGAACCACAGTGGACTATGTAGGAGTCTAGCAACATAAGCACTATGTCCTCTGCTGGTTCATTTAAGAGAGATTTTTGCTATAGGGCATGTATGCTTGCTGGAGAGACAGAAAGCGAGAAATTATCTCCCAGGGGAGATAGCCATGCTGCAATCCCTTCTCCTCCATTCTCCTCTCAGGATTTTGGGCACGCACATACGCATGTGCCCGGCATGAGTTTGAAGTTGCTATACTAGGACTCAAACTCAACAAGGGAGTCCAGTGACATAAACATTATGCCATCTGCTGATCCTCCAAAATGCTACTTTTAGAATAAGCATAAAATTTTCATGGAACTTCTGGAATCACAAAATTCCCGGCTATAAATCAGAAAGACTTTTATAGCATTTGTCATTTTAATTAACTTGAAGGTACAATTGTCTCCCCTCCCTCCCCTACATACCCCCAATGACTTAAGTACAATTTTATATGTTTTTAAGATTATTTACAATCTTTAGAAGCAGAAACAGAACTGGGCCAGCCCCTTTACCTAGTGTTAAAGGAGGCAGGTCCTACATATTGTCTGCAGTTCCAATCCCAACCCCAGCAGCTTGAAAACATGCTGGAACATGTGTGCCCAATGCACAGATGGAGAAATGGAGAAGGGATTGTGGTGCGGCGACACCCCATCAAGGCGGTGCTTTCTCCTTTTTGCTCCCTCCCTCTCTCTTTCTCTCTCTTTGGTGAGTGCATGTATCCTCTGGCAATGAAAAACAAAGGAAGAAGGGAGGGAGGGAGGAAGGAAGAAAGGGGAAAAAGGGGGGGGAGGAAGGAGCACAACACAGCTATTTATGGAAGGCCAAGTGGTTTACCCTATACCTCAGGGCCAACACATTTTAGAAAGTCCCCCTAGGGAGCTGGTGAGGATTCCCCGGGGCTGCCCCAGTCAGGCGCTGGAACTTGGTAACTGTGAAGAGTCCACTGACTAAGCAGCGCCCAGGCAGGCTGGAGAAGTGTCCCAAGCGTCATGTCCGCCAGGAGTGGGTTTCAGAGAACCCCCCCACACACCTATGGCCCAGAGGTCCTGAGTCCTGCTGCACGGAACTCATTAGACTCAGAAGCCCATCCCTAAAGCTTCTGACTTAGTTCACTGAAGGGGGTGCACAGGCATTGCTTCTTTTAAAACACTTGCAGGCCAGGTGGCAGCACAGCACGTTTCCTGAGGCTGACCCAGGGAGGAGGTTCCGATTGCATCCAGACACCTCCCTGAACAACACTGGGCACTGGCGTACCAGTGGTCCAGAGCCGGCTGAAGCTGGAGGGGAGCCAAGTCCAAAGACACTGTTGGGGTGCCTCGCTGTCTGTTTCAGGGAGAGAGAGAGAGAGAGACAGCCAGAGAAAGAGAGGGAGTGGGGAGAGAAAGAGAAAGGAAGGGAGAGAGAGAGGGAAAGGGAGGGGGAGGGAGAGAAAGAAGGAGAGAAATAGGGGAGAGGGAGGGAGGGAGGGAGGGAGGAAGAAATTTCTCAAACGCTCATACATACGTATGTGTGCATGCTAGGTGATCCCTTGAGTTTTCAAGCTTGAACACCAGCTCAGAAACTACTTTGATGCCCAAACATTATATTT